AACGCCACCTATCAGCTCATTCATTTCCGCTTATGCATTATTCTCAACGCTTTTCTTTTTCTCGTCATCATTTATTTTTACTCAAGAGAAAACCACCTATCTGCTCATTCATTTCCGCTTATGCATACAATTATTCTCAACGTTTATTTTCGTCATTATTCATTTTTATTTAAACGAAAACCGCATATCAGCTCAGTCATTTCTGTTTATGCATACAATTATTCTCAACGTTTATTTTNATATAAATATATTCGCCTTATAGATTTTCTTTCGTATTTTGTTATATATTTCCTTTACTTATTATGTTCTGTTTTTTGATTGACTTGTTTTATTTCATATATTGTTTTAAATTAATGTGTTCTATTTTCGTTTCATTAAAAAAAATTTCGTGCTCCTCACGCACTTTAATATTGGCACTCTTATTATTCTCAATGTTTATTTTCGTCATTATTCATTTTTACTTAAACGAAAGTCACCTATCAGCTCATTCATTTCCGTTTACGCATTATTCTCAAAGTTTTTTTTTCTCGTCATTATTTATTTTTATTCAAGAGAAAACCACCTATCTGCTCATTCATTTCCGTTTATGCATACAATTATTCTCGACGTTTATTCTCGTCATTATTTATTTTTATTCAAGAGAAAACTACCTATCTGCTCATTCATTTTCGTTAATGCATACAATTATTCTCGACTTTTATTTTCGTCATTATTTATTTTTATTCAAGAGAAAACCACCTATCTGCTCATTCATTTTCGTTAATGCATACAATTATTCTCGACTTTTATTTTCGTCATTAATCGTTTTTATTTAAACGAAANCACCCCATTCATTTTCGTTTATGCATACAATTATTCTCAACATTTATTTTCGTCATTATTCATCTTTATTTAAACGAAAACCGCATATCAGCTCAGTCATTTCTGTTTATGCATACAATTATTCTCAACGTTTATTTTCGTCATTACTCGTTTTTATTTAAACGAAAACCACATATCACCTCATTCATTTCCGTTTATGCATACAATAAAATCTAATTAAGAGCTAGACTACAGTCCCTGATTTTAATTAATAGACGCACTATAAGATTCTATGCAATATCTTAATTATCAGGTGATGCTATACAGCTTGATTGCTATTACGGGACTTAAACCAGTTTGCGCTTGTTTACCTTCGTGTATCAATTGATTAAATTAGGCAATATATAATATAAATTTGACGATTGTATGAATTAGACGATGTATTATTTAAATATAGAATATTTATTACATCAGGTATTACTGTAATAATTTGATAAAATTATTAGACGCACTATAGTTTTTTAATAATTACGTGTTTTGAACGAGTTTATAAGCAATACTTATGTATTTACACCAATATGTAATGGGTTTTTATTCAGGAGAATTTTTATATACTTCCTACTTATTTTTGAAATATTGAATTACGTAGTTAACCAATTGATACACGAGTGTAAACAAGTGCAAACCAATTAAGATTTCACATGGAATCTTATAGTGCGTCTAATAATTTGGTCAGAGACTGTAGAAGTTCAACTATCTGACAAAAAAACCCATTTTAAGACTAGTATTGTTAAAACTGCATGATGGGAAAACTCCCTTTTGCATTAATTCATAAAATATTTTTAAAAAAATAATAAATCTTAATCATTAAATATTTTAAAATTAAATCATAGTTTTTTGTTGATAAAAATTTTATTACAATTGCCCATGAAATTTCTTCAGTAAATTTCGAGGCTCCGATCAAAGTGATCACGGGTTTATAGAACCGATATTGTTCTATGTTTAATTTTTATAAGAATTTCTTCGATTTTTCTTAAAATGTATCACTTTGATCAATCTCTTAAGTGTAACGCTGCCACCACAGAATGCAAATTTTGATATAATGAACGCTTGAGGCTTTTGCTGTCAAAGGGTTATTAATTATCCATCTTCTGTGTTATTTTTTAGATCATACCACCCATGGAGCTTAAAAGGAAAACATTTCCTGCCTATGTTCTATTGATGTTGAGTGGGCCTTTTGTAATTCTCGAATGCTTGAGCAATCCATTTTTGGATGCGACCTACAACGATCTAGAAACTATAAATGCAACATGTAAGGGTTATTCTTGTGCAGATGAAGAACTTGACGAATACAGCTGCAACTGTGATAGCCCTTGCAGTCTTCTAGGAAATTGCTGTGTAGACTCTCCAAACAAGAATGAATATCCTAAGCAATTAAAGCACGTCGATTGTAGAACATACAATGATGGAGGTATATACTATGTCCCTATGATATACGATTGTGACCCAGATTTAGAAAATGATAAAACCACCACGGAACTGTGCAAAAGCAAAGGCGAATTATTAAACGATCCCTTTTTGAATATACCCGTTACTGATCCTGAAACAGGTATTTCGTATAAGAACTACTACTGCTATGCTTGCAATGAAAACTATGGCGATGAAGAGCCAGTGTTATGGAACTTGATTATAGAAAGTTACTATAGAAGAGTCAATACAAGAGCGTTACCAGATCTTTATTTTGATAAAGTCAGATGGTTATGGATCATGGACCACAACAAACCAAATGCAACAGATGTATCGTTGTATACACAAATTCCAGAAGAAATTAAAGATTATATACCATACTGTTATACTGTCAAAATGATATCAGAATGTGCCTCAAATTGGACTGATGACAACGTAAGGAGTAAGTGCCTAGGGTACATGGCTCTTGCGAGAATAAAAATTAATGGTAGCTCAGCTATTGTGTATTATCGAAATCCTCACTGCGCCATTTGCAATTATCAGACCATTGATGACCTGGTTTGCAGCTCAGAGTTCGATGATAATTGGGTGGTTAATGACTTCTTTTATGGATCTTTCTCTGCTCGTGACAAAAAAAGTAAATTTCAAGATGTTGTGTTGCATGATCGCTTTATTCGAGATTTTAGAACTGTACGAAGGACAAAAAAGGAAAACAAAAATTAAATTTGGCCAGTAAATCATTGATGACACATTAATAACAGAAGTTTTACCTTACATATTAAGTTTGGAATCCCAGGTCTACAACAAACATCAAAAATATTTGTGTGAATTTTTTTAACATCGTAACAGAAACGTTATTACTTATAAAAAGTTTGAATTTACCAGTTGGCAACTACAGCTGGTAATTATACATAATCATTGAAAATTCTTGAACGGCATCTACTGCCGTGTACATTTATTATATTTGTCGAAATTTTATTACCTTAGTGACAGAAACTCCATAACACAATAAGTGCAGAAGTTTATAACACATATTATATTGTAAGTAATGATCACTGCAATATACCGAATCATTAAATAAGCTCTTAAAGTCCTTATGCAAAACAAGTAGGAAAATGGTACTTATTATAAAATGCTAAGAACTTTAACTGTTAAATAATCAAACTACTTTTATAAATGTAAAAAAAAATCTTCTTGTATACTGTTAACATCGTTTTGAAATTAAAAATGCTATTATTTTAGTTGTCGTATTTTTATTTCTTTATTGTGTTAAAAAATTCGGCAATATATTCGACCTACACTGATATATATATATATACTATATACTTCGGAGAAAGGAAGGAAAATGGGCAAAACACAAAAACCTGTTTAAATGTTGGTCGAAACTTGATTATGCGATTGATAAGCTACACTTTGCGAGAAGCTTCACTGAGCTTTGCCCAACGATTGATAAAGTCTATATTCATCTTCCACAGTATTGATCCCTATGGTTGCGTATTTATTTATCAACGAGTTTCCATGGAGTGTTAAATAATTAAGAATAGTAGCAAAAACATTTAGAATTTAAATTCTTTATTGTGTTCGTAATTCGAAGCAAAAAAAAAATTAAGTGAAATATACAAGCTCTAGCCTTTATTGAATTGATGCTAGATTTTGGTGGCAGATATTGCTGCAATTCATGTGTATACAACAATATGTAGTTTTAATAATTCTATTGTAAAATATGTATAATTAAGCATATATATGTCAGGTATTTAAAAATTAGCAGCAGTATCACTTTCTGCACTTCTTTTTTATAAGCGTGAGATCTTTCTATCGAAATTTCGACTGCTTTCCTTAAATCTTTCGAATCTCTACGGAGTTTAATGGTTGATAACGATGCATTTTTTAACGATATTTGAAAATTACAGTCGGAATTTAGCACCATATTGAATTTATAATCAATCAAAATTTTGGTCATTTTCCGAATAATTTAAGTCCTATAATTCCCAAAGAAAGACGAAACAAAATTCAACCGTTTTATGAATTACACAAGCAGAATTAACTACCATATTATTCCTAATATGAATTTATCGAAAATAATATTTTCGGCCATTGTTTGAATAGCTGGAAAGCTTAAAATTTAAAAGAACATAATACGTTCTGGATGACGTTCTTATGTTGGTACATGATCACTGCAAACTGAACTTATTATATTTAATATAGAACAATATTTAATAAATGGAATAAATTGAATAATATAATAAATAGAATAATATTTAGAAAATATGATTTTCAAGTAAACTGAGAAGAAGAAAGTAGTTTTATTTTTGTTTTGTTTCAATTAAAAAAAACGTAAAGGGAATCTCTTTCCAAACAAACCATTGAATATTACTCTAGTCTAAATTATTCGCTCTTCGACTTTGGTCTGAAAGTCTATTACTTATTTTATTTCATAACCGTCGTTGAATGGCAGACCCAATTTTGGGGGGGGGGGGTTACGACTACTCTATTATTTTAACTGAGAGTGGTTTTAATTTTTTTTATTTTACTTTATTATTTTAAATGAGCGCTTGCCCATAATTGAACTATATTGCACAAAATAGTTCACCTAAAAGTACATTTTACAACCACTGTGTCCATTTAAATATGTGACATGATGGATTTTTCTTCTGTTCTGTTTTACAAATAATATTTGAAATTCTTCTTTCAAATATAATCTACTAAGTATTAATCCATCGTATTATTTCTAGATATAATTAACCATGGAATTAAGATGGAAAGGAACTCTGACCATTGTTCTGTTGATGTTATCCGGGTCTTTAACAAACTTAGATTGTTGGAGCGTACCATTACCGAATGTGACATCTGATGATATCCAAAGAATTAACACATCATGTAATGAAACAGATTCCTGTGAACAATTATTTGATGTGACATATGATGATATCCAAAACATAAATGCAACGTGTAATGAATCAGATTCTTGTGAACCATTATTTGATGTGACATATGATATTCAAAATATAAATGAAACTTGTAAAGAATCAGATTCCTGCAAAACATTATTTGATGTGACCTATGAGGATAAACATGGCATAAACGCAACTTGTAAGGAATCAGATTCCTGTGAACCATTATTTAATGTGACATATGATGATATCCAAAATATAAATGCAACGTGTAATGAATCAGATTCTTGTGAACCATTATTTAATGCGACATATGATGATATCCAAAGCATAAACGGAACATGCGAGGGAAGAGATTCATGCGAATTACCCAGAGATAAAGATACTCTTAGCTATTATACCTGCAAGTGTAACAGCTACTGCAGTTTGTTTGGAACATGCTGTGTAGACTCGAAACACAAACACAAATACCCGAAACCTCTAAAACACCTATATTGCGATTCTGTTTTTCAGGACGAGGAGTTTTGGTACGTACCCATGGTATACGGTTGCGATCCTGATTCCCAAAGTAATAAAACCACCAAGGAACTTTGCAATAGCAATGCTGAACTATCAAACAATCCTGTTTTGAATGTACCCGTTACTGATCTTGTAACAGGTATTTCGTATAAGAACTACTATTGCTTCTCGTGTAACAAAAACTATGGTGAACAAGAACCAATGCCATGGAAGTTAGAATTGGAAAGTCATTCAGAAAAAATAAATGGGTCATTACAGAACTTACATTTCGATATTTCCAGATGGACTTGGGTCTTGGATTACAATCAAGCAAATGCAACCGATGTATTTTTGTATATATCTATGCCAGAAGCAGTGATAGATGTTATTCCTTATTGCTATAACTTCATAATAATATCAGACTGCGCTTCAAACTGGACTGATGACACTACGCGAAATAAGTGTCTGGCTTATATGGCACTGGCAAGAATTCCTGTCAAGAATAAAGATGAGACTAATCTAATATACTATCGAAATCCACATTGCGCCATTTGCAACTATCAGAGTATTGATGGCAGGGATTGCAATGGATATGATGATAATCATAGTGTGTCTTACGGGCATAATGACTTTTTCTATGGTTTGTTCTCTTTACACGACAAAACAAGCAAATGTGAAGACAATATGATTTATGATTATTTCGGAAAGAAATGTAGAAGAATATACAAAGCAAAAAAGCGACGGCTATCATAATCTTCTTATAGTTGTTCAGTTCACAAAGTAAAAAACCGGTATATCATGAACAATTTTTGATTTAATGATGGGATTTTCCCGTACTTAAGATTCGGATTTCTAGTTCTCAATATGTAGGGAACAGCTGCAATCCAGGAAAGAAGGTACCAATCACTTACAGAAGAGCAGTCGAAAGCTTGAGATTTTTAATTTAAATTTTTTTATCTCAAGATACGATATTTTTCTGTTTGCTTGATAGGACAAAACACACAAAAAATAAAATTAACACAAAGGGGTCTAGGCATTCGTACGTCGATCAAACTATTAAGACTATATTCCCCAAATTGCAGCTACCGTCCTTTTTTTTTAAGGCCATTATTACGAAATAGTGCGCAATTTAGAAAAGGTACGTTTTGAGCCTTATTTTGTAACCTGAAATATTGCGAGCACTTACAAGTTACTAAATTTAACATTTGGTCCTAGAACTGTCAAAATGGAATCTCGGTATTTCGTTACGGGAAAATCTAATTATTAGATCAAAATATATTCAGGTTATTCTTTTTTTCTCTCTTTCTGCACATTGTACGTGAATAAATATCGATTTCTATACAATTGATATTTTTTCGTGGACAAAAAAGAAAAAAAAAAGTCAATAAAATCCTCCAATTTACTACGAAGGGGAGAGTGGGTCAAAAGCGGGTAGTGGGGGTGAGACTGGGTACCCGATTGTGTCAAAATTAGTTCTATTTTTCAGAAGAGTACAGAAGAAGTATCAAATAAGTACACTTGAAAAAAAATTTTATGGTGACTATTAGAGCCACGGATGTTTTTGAATTAATACATTTCAAATTATGTATGATGAACAAGTTTAATTATGGAATCATAGCCCATCTAAGGTGCATTTTAAGTATCGAGAAATAAGTTCTGGAGAAAATTTAAATTCAAAGTAAAAAAACATTTCGAAAATGTTAGTTTTAGACTACCCAAAACCATGTTATTAATGCCGACCTTTCAGATAAGGCGAGATGGTACTTACAAGATTTTATTTTTAAATGCTATTTTCCTTCAAAGTAAAAAAAAAGAACTATTTGTTTGCGACATTTTGGTGAATATAAATGCACTTTGTAACTGAAACTGAATTTTTGAGAAATTATCCATTTTCCTAGGTACACAAATAACTATTTGTATTTGAGGAGGTATAAATTAATAGTTATACATTCGTCCTATTCATTAAGCATTTAGCTTAATATATATTCGTTCATCATCTTTGTTTGAACTGCATTAAATTGCATACTGTACTTTCAAAAATATATGTACCATTAGAAAATGTTCCAAAATTTTAGATTTGTATTAGTAAACTATTACCTAAATCTTTAGTGGAGCAATATTTACTTTTTTATTAAGTATTTGTAAAATTTTACATAAAAAAGAGCATTAAATAGATACGTTTGTGATTTTGGACACCTGAATATGTAAATACTTTTTGTACCAAAAATATAAATCTGTAAATTTATTTTTAGATATTTACTATCACAGCTAATAAATTTTCAATCCTAAAATTACTTTAAACCGACAAAAAAAAGTGATTGATTGAAACAATTGATTCAAAAAGTAACTATCACATAAGGAAAGTGCTTATTTGAATGCTTATTGCTGAAATTTTATCTATGCAGATTGAATGTTTAATGTCTATTTGTAAAATGACTGAAATTTAGAAAGTTGTATTAGTACGCTTGTTCAAGTATCAAATTATTAATTCAAAAATAGTTATGTGCTTTCAAATTGTTTAAAATAAAGTGAAAAACAAACACATTTTCCTAATACTGCATTATTACGATAAAATAATCGAAATCTTTACCCACATAAAATGACAAATTTGCAGTGGTAAATTTTAATCTCTATACATAATATTCTGAATAAATTCAGATATGGATCAAAGTTTAGTAAGCTTTAAAATTTTTATTGCTGAAATAGATGCCTTAAAAATGCTGTTAAGTTTGGTGATTAACTTTTTAATTCTTATCATTAACATCTTTACAAACTTTTAGAATAAATTAAGAAAGGAACTTTGTACCGTAAAAGTGTAATTTCTATTTGCAATGATACTATTAAAGCCACCTACCGCATTTAAAAGTTGAATTTGCTTCATCCTGTAACTTTACAAATTTAGTCGTACCACTTAATTTTCTGCATAACTTTAGTGTACTTCATTAGGAAACCCAGGTAGAACTTGTTTGGTTGAGAACCACCTGAAAAATGAACATTTTTCGAGTAAACAAAAAAAAAATTATATTATCAAAGTATTTTAAATATAATGTTGTATGTTGAGAATGTATTAGTGCTCAATTTTTTTAAAAATGTGCATAGTATATAAGTATAAAAATGTAATTATAAATGCTAAGTAATTAAATATGTTGTATACATATGCTTGAATAAATTATTGTTTTTCTTAATATTGGAAACAACTATTTTTAACGTAAACTCATTCAGTCAAATTACATAAAGCATTTGATTACTGAATTTTCAGCGTAGGAACTTCAAATCAAGATGAGTCAAAGGTTACACACAAAATGGAAGGTAAAAGGTTTTAAAATTCCTCGGCACAAAATCCTTGCATGGTAGTGAACTCTTTGAAAATCAGTTTTCTTATGATGGGCGAGCAGTATTTAGACATAGCAACACTGAAACAAAATTTAAGATAAGTAAACGCTTATTTTTAAAAATTCCACCGAAGACTGATACGTTGATAACATTTTTATGGTGATTATTCGTATCAATAGATATTGATGAAACTCAAAAATAATTCTCAGTTAATAATTTGACTACTTGTCTAAAGGAATCATCAAACTGATGACTCACAAATGGTTAATTTACATGAGTTTCGCTTTATTTAATTTTTGATTTCTTAGGAAACTTTACTTTATTAAAACTTTTCAGAATTAAAACGCGTGTGATATAAAAGTAAATTCTTAATCCTCGGGTAAATCTCACAAATTGCTAATTGCAATTGTTAATTTACATGCGTTTCACTTTATTTAATTTTTGATTTCTTAGGAAATATTACTTTATTAAACCTTTTCAGAATTAAAACGCGTGTGATATAAAAGTAAATTCTTAAGCCTCGCGTTAATCTCACAAATTGGTGATTGGTAAATATTAAAGAAATTTTTTATTTCGTCAATATTCAGTTTTAAAAATACAATCTCATGCAAGATGCACAAAAAGTATGCCTATAAGTGCAAATATTGCGCTTAATTTTTCGTAACTTAAAATGCACTGCACTATTTTTGATTGACGTAGAGCAGCGTTTCCAAAACTTATGACTTTTGTGTACCCTTTCTAAATTTTTCGTAACGCTGTATATGAATGTATTTTTTACTATAAAAAATTGCACAAAAGCTAAAAATCACAACTGGCTGTTAACACCACTAATTATTAACTGTTAACTCCGCAAAAAATAGCCTATAGAAAAATGTGTGATCGTAAATTTTCATGGCTACCTTTGTTCTTAAATAAAATATTTTGAAATTTTCGTTTGTTGCAAGATATTTCGAATAAGAACGCGTACGCCCACTAAACTGTTCCAGTACCCCTGGACTGAAATTTAAAACCGCAGGGTACTGCCATTGTATGATAATTTATGTAAAAAATTAATGTCTACGAATATGAGAAGTGTCGAGAGCAACTTAAACTTATATGACCCGTAATCGTTTCAATGCATTTTCTTTACACTTTACTGAGTTATGGTTTATATTTAAAGAAATATCTTATTTTTACATTGCTAAACAGGATATTATTAATGAAAACCGGTTCCTTAGTAATTTCATTGTTATTCAATGTATGATCGTTAACATTGAATAACAATGTTAGTATTCTTTCTAAACTAATTAACAAATTATAATAAATTGATAGCGCATAAATCACAAAAAATACACGAAATGCCACTCGCCTATCGGACTTATATTTTTTTAATACAGTCAAACCTCGATATCTCGAACTTGAAGGGAGAGCAGAAAAAATTCGAGATACCGAAAATTCGAATTATCGAAAATCGCATGTTATCGATGGTAGAATAAAGAAAAATGCTTATTACTTACCTTATTTACTATTCCATATTTATTCTAAGAACACTTTTTACACTTTCATTTAAAAAAAGATTCAATTGTTGTTTGCTTTAGGGATGTGTAAGGAAATTTGTCTGTAACACTTTCTAAGTGGACTATAGCTTTAATTGTCTCCGTAGACATATTTGACTGCCTCTCAATAAATCTCCTTACAGTGTCCACTGCAGAAAGTGCTTGTTTGTTAGTAACATTGGGTGGTAAATCTTCGATTTCCTCATCCTCTTCTTCTGATAGTTCACAAGAAGCTTTCGTTTGAGCGATGATATCATTGTCATTCCACTGACAAAACACTGTTACTGCATCATCTACGTTTACAAAGTCATGAAATTCCATGTCATCAAGTTTCATGAGTCAGGTCAATCTGCCCCAATCATTTTCGATGTAGTTAGTGTTCAGCAGAATTAACGATGTTGATTGTTTGACTACTTTCGTGATCTTTAATGAATCCAGCCTTCTTGAAGCCATTCATTATCGTAGAGAAAGACACATCATTCCATGCCACTGACGCCTTTAAGTCTATTTTTTTTAAAAGTTTATCATTATAAGAATTGGTTTTCTATTCTTAATTTTTTTTTTACTTGGAATAGTTTTTTTATTTTCGGAAGAAAACTCTACACTGTTGATGGCGAAAAAAAATTCAAGTTATCGAGGGATTAGAAAAAAAAATTCTTGAAATCTAGTTTTTTTTAACATTGAGTGTATAGAGAATTTTTTTTTCTTCGAGATATCGAAAAATTCGTGAAATCGAGGTTCGAGTTGGCGAGGTTCGACTGTAGTTTTCTAGATTTAAAAAAAAACTTGTCTATTTCGAAGGGAATATCAAGCTGTAAATTATTAAAAGCATTCATTGTTACCTTAAACAAGTCACCAAGTTGTGTTTCTCTCCTAAAAAGTGTTGTGTTTGCTGTAAATGATTGCATTAATTTAGACTTTTAAACTTTATTCAGAAATTTTAAATTTGCGTTTTAAGAAGCTAAGTGATAAAATTGAAGGGAAAAAAAGCGAAATAAAAGCGTGAAGATAAAATTTGATAGCTGGAATTAAAATTCTTTATTTTTATTAATAAATTCCGGACACTCCTTTGGATGACAAAGTTAGGGTGAGCGTTGAATCGAATTTTAAGGATTGATTGGAGGAAAATTGAGTTTTGGAGAAAATTGACAAACTGATCCGAAGCATTTCAAGTGCAAAATTACTAAACACATTTCTTTTCAACAGATTTTTGTTCCTTAAAGCGTGAATATACAAAATTATATGTATAGATATAAATTTTTGCGATTTACTTTTTTATAAAAAGCAATTAATTAACACTATTCTTGAAAGAAATTTTAGTCCTTCTCTCAGCAGCTCCTGGACTTAAGTACGGTTTTGACTGCATAAATTGCATGCATATATTTTTTTAAATAACCATAATAAACAGAAATGCTTGCTACTTAAAAAAAAAAAAAAAGATCTGAAAAAGTAAAAAAATCTGACTTTTAAGAGTGGTATATTGTACACAACTATCTTGATCAAATCTGGCAGACTCAAGGTCGAACAGTTCAGCTCCGACAATACTTCGAATCCTTACCCTGTCTTAGGCCACTTTCCCCTAAATATTACTTAAAATAACAAGAGGTGAATGCAAAACGTGGTTTATAATACCCAGACTCATTTTAATTTGAAATGACGTCATTTATACCCTTGAGTCATGCAAGAATATGCAGATGAAATTGAAAGTTTAACCTCTGTGACGTATTGGTTTCCCCAACTAACCAGCTTTTCTTGTACATTTCAGTCTAAATATATCACGACGATGGTAAAGGAATACAAATGAGATAACTCTAAACGAAAGTGTTTTATTAAGTTGGGCTCTATTTATAAATAAAGAAAAGATTCAGTCAGTTGGGGAAAAAAATCTGTGGAGTTGTTCACTTCCACCTGCTTTTCACTAAGAATAATTTATTTTAAACACTAAAAATATGATAGAAATTTTTTGAAGAAAACAAATTTCTCTGCACGTATATTTTCATTTGTAAAAAAAGCAAAGATAAAATAATTCAGTATTTTAGAACATATAAGTCTGTGTTCGTTTGTCAATAAAATGGTAAAATATTTTCGCACTTATCTGTTTCGGGGATCTTAAAAAAATTGCAGAAATCTTATTCTGATACTTAATTAATGGGGATAAGTGGCGAGTATTATTTATCATCACAATTACAGACTGTAAAAATTTCGAATATCTTAACCTTCTAACGCAGACGAGACACCGGTGTCCTTCTTATATATATTTTTCTGTGACATTTTATTACAAGCAAAAATATATTTTGGTATTTTTTAATCATAAAAAAAGTCTTGATAGTTACTGAAAAAATGTTTTAGATTATCGGAGATTAAAATATAAAACCCAAAAATGGTAGTTAGACATTTTTTTTCCAATCATATTCAAACATAACAGATAGATGTTTTTATAAATTAAGAAATTTTAATGATGAATACCTGTTTCCCTTAGATCTAAATACTGCAAATATGTGTAAATTCAAAAACAAAAATTTGGTAAGTAAGCCTTTTTTGGCAGATTTTAACTTTAACGCAGAAAAAAGACATTGTTGTATTTCATAACCATATATTATTAAAATGCTAAATACAGTATTTTTCACTTATTTTAACCTAAATTAATGCAAAATAACGAACAAAGTGTGAAAAATA